CATAAAAAAAATGATAAACTTGACCTAAATCATATTTTGTTTTTGATCTCATTTTTTATCAAACAAAAAAAAGATAAACATAGGATAAACCATTTTTGAACGGAAATGATGGGAAGGAGTGATAAGATAAAATAGGGATGATTCATCCAGAAAATGTTTTTTTATTTCAATTTTATGAGTTTTTGAAAATGAGGGAGAATAACAATATTTTTTTCCTAATTTAGGGGAAACTTTAGAAAGAAAAATATTTCTTTGAATTTTTTAAAAATTTCTTGGTAATTCTGAAATTTCCAATTTCACAAATGATCTGAATACGTTCTATTAGAGGTTTTACGGTATGCAATTTTCAAAATTTGGAGAATCAAAAAATTATTTAAAGGATAACAAAATTAGAGAACAATATTTTTCCCCTAGGTAACACATAATGTGATCTAGCGTATCAACCCAAGGGATGTGAAGAAGAAGAAGAAGAAGAAGAAGAAGAAGAAGACATGGGAGAGAGAAAGCTAGAGAGAGAGAAAGAGATTAGAGACGCAGAGAAAGAGGAGAAGTGCACAGACACAGAGAAAATTATGGAGAAGCTAGATTTTTAATCCTGTAAGGGGCGCGATATTTTGGGACGGAAAGGTAAGGAAATAAGGCACTAATGAGAGGAATATAATTGGATTTTGTGGTCCAGGAGAGAGTATGGAATTTAGAAAATTTGGCGAAATTCGGATTATGGAAAGAGAGGTGAGTTCGAAAGTTTGGGATTAAAAATTTCCAAAACTTGTTTTCTATCCTAACTCACTTCTTCAAATTCGCTAGTTTTGAAATTCAATAACACAGTTTTACTCAGCTTGTCAAGAGCTTCAAAATGAGTCTAAACACGACTAGGTTCCGCCCACTTTGAAATTTTGGGTTTAAAGGCGCATGAACCTCGAGAGAAATAAAGAAAAATCAAAATCCAGGAAAGTAGGTCATGAGTATATTCATTTTGAAGCTCTTGACAAAATAGAAACAATCAATTTGTTTGTTCTGGTTTTCAGTCAAAAATAATGAAGTTAGGGATTCTCGAGTATTCGGAATTTTCAGGATTTTTAGGAACTTCGAGTCTACCAAAATACAAACAAACGGAAATCAGGCGGACCAGAATGCTCAATTTTCTCTGATTTGCTTCAAAACACACAACCACTGGCCTTTTATTAAAATTTGCTTTCCGAAATTTATTTGACATATACGCACATACATACACAAATCTTACACGTATAATTATATTTAGAGGTAATTGGAAAACATAGAGAGAGAGAGAAAGAGAGAAAGAGAGAGAGGGAAAGAGGAAATGGAGAAAGAGAGATAAGGGAGAGCAGAAAACATGGAAAAATTGATAAATTCAAACTTTTTGAAATGTTAAAGGTAGGGACATGGAAAAACATGAATTTTCCGAAATTCCGATCATATGCGCACTTAGAGAAGTTGATGGACCAAATTCTAGAGGTACCGCGTTACTACCAGGCCCTTTTGGAGCAGTCCAGGCCCGTCCTAAGCAGTTTTTAGACCTCATATTGTTTAGAAGGCTCTGAAGCACTTTGAAACCGTGTAGAATCACCACGGATACATCGGGATTTATTGGAACTACAGTACCGGTCAATAAAATATGCAACAAGCTATTTTTCAGTGGATTTTTGGTCATTTTGACCATTTTCAGGAGTCTGGAGCTCGGCTGTCATATGTCCGATCACTCTGAAAAATTTTGGAGGGTGCAAAAAAGACCTAGATTGAAAATTTGGCGTTTACAGAATTGTTTTAAAATTCCTAGTTTTTCAGCTATTTGCCGATTCCTGAAAGGCATACCTTTTTAGTCGGTTTTGTAATAACACGTGCTTCAGGTAGGAAAACTAAACTTTTCGATTTGAAAAATATGAAAAATAGAAAAAAGGGAAGAAAAAGAAAATTGAAAAATTAAAAATTCGAAGATAGAAAAAAAATTTGTTCTGAAATCTTTGGTTTTTGATTAGAAACTTCACTATCAGACTTTTAAATTTTTTCGAAATTTCGAAATCAAAATTTCCTGAAATTCCGAAAATAACTAAAGTTCCTAAAACTTCAAAGTTTCTTAATTTCTGTAACTTTCGGTATTACCGGTTTCGATGATTTTTAACTTTTCTGACATAAAATGTTCAAATTGCTAGTTCAGTTGTTTCTGATTTGTACTTTTTTCAAAAATTTGAAAATAAAAAAACCGAAAATTTTGAACATTTTCATTTTTTTAATAATCTGAATAATCGAAAAATTGTTAAACATATAATCTCTGAACTTCTGAATACTTGAATTTCTCTAAAAAAGAAAACAGGGAGAGAGAAAAAAAACGAACAGATTGCAATTTCAACACTTTCTAAAGTTTAGATTTCTTGTGAATTCCCAATTTTCCAATATAAACAATTCCCGTATTCCCTCTGATAGGAGCACACCAAAACCTTCAACTTTGAGCTTAATTATCTCGATTCCTGTAAAAGATATTCAAAATTTTCTTAACTGATAAATTGTTTATCATAATATCACTAATATGTAGTTTATTTTTTGACTTTTTTTCGATAAATCTTATTGGAATCGAGATAATCGAGCTCAAAGTGCGATTACAAGTTTGTGAACTCACAGCCGTCGTTGATCTGCCATTGGTCCGTCTTGGCGCCCTTGTGTTTAAAACAACCCCGTTCCCAAATTATTCTGTTCTTCGAGGTTCCAATTAGATATTCTTGCTAACATCAAACATCCATTCATGTTTTTCCGACTACTCTCAATATTCCCAGAAACCAAGACGCGGTACTTCAAAAAGTTTGCATTTTGAAAATAATCTGAATAAACAGAAAAGTGGCATTTTTATGACCCTAATCATTGACTCACACTAGGGTGGGACTAGGATGGGTAGAGGTGTTCTTCTGGGAAAGATTTGTGGAGTGAGATAAGAGGTTTGTCTCTCCTACTGTAGTTTTTTTCTACTCAGAAACTGGAAGTTGTTGGAAAGTACTATGTTTTTCAAATCAAATTACATAATCTTACTCACCTTGTCAAGAGCTTCAAAATAAGTATAAAAACGAATAGGGTCCGCCCATTTTGAAATTTCGGGTTTAAAGGCGCATGGACACCGAGAAAAATCAAAATCCAGGAAAGTAAGTCATGAGTATATTCATTTTGAAGCTCTCAACCAGATGTTAAGGAATAAATTATTTTTTTAAGGTTTAGGAATAAAATAAGGGAATTAGGAGATTCATTTTTGGAAGCACCATATAATCTGTTTATCAAGATGTCCACAAGACAGTAAAAAGAAAAGTCATACACTTGAAAAGAATTACAAAACAGATAAAAATAGAAAACTAAAAATTAGTTTAACCGAGCTCAAGGCTCACCAGTGAGCCGGGACAAATCCCAAACTCTCATCCAACTCTCTGAAAAATCTCTCCGGGTCGCTGGTTTCATCATAAAACGCCACATTTCCATATTCTACTCGTTCCGCCTGCTCTCGATATTCCAAAATTTCCATTTTGATGGATTTGACTTTTTCCTGCTTGGCCACTACTGGCTGAGCAATCCATTCTGGCTCCACCTTGATTTTTCTAGGTCCAGTGGCCATTGGCTTTATGTCCTCTTTCTCGTTTAGCATTTTTTTCAGCGATTCCAAATACTTGTTCGCCAATTTGAGCGTCTCTATTTTGCTCAACTTGCCACCTGCGGGATTTGGGAGTTGTCTGAAAGTAAGAAGAAAAGTTTGAGCGCAATTATCTCGGTTCTTATCAAATATATGAAAAAGTAGTCAACTGATAAAATGTTACTGATTTTATGATAAACATTTTATTAGTTAACAACTTTTTTCTATCTCTGACATGAATCGAGATAAATGAGCTTAAAGTTGAAAAAAAAATCTTAAAAGCGCCAAATACCGTTACTTTGACTTTGAGCTTAATTATCTCGATTCCTGTCAAAGATATGAAAAAGTTGTAAACTAATGAAACGTTACTGATATAATGATAAGCAATTTTTTAGCTAACAACTTTTTGATATCTTTGATAAGAACAAAGATAAATTGGCTCAAAGTTGACTAATGAAAAAAAAAACTTGAAAGAAGAGCTCTTTCAAAGTTGAAAGTTAAGGTGCCCTTCTATTACAGGTTTTACGACAAAAAAGGCTAAAACTCACTTTCCCAGCTTTTCTAGCTCCTTATTGATATTCTGATAATGTTGCTTCTCTCTTTGATTTTTCAAAACTCTTTTTTGGTTGGCAATTTCTTCAGCGGTGAGTGTCATGGTGATTTCTGATGAGTACTATGAATCAGTTTGGCCATCAGGTGACATGGAAAAAGGGGGCAGAGCCTTGTCAGAAAGAGCAAACAAACAAGTGGGACATTTGTCGATGTGGAATATAATGGAAAGGAGCTCCGGGGAAAAAGATAAAAAAAGGATTAGGTATCCATGCCGCCGATGGATAGCCCTAGACCAATCAGACCGTTTTAGCTCATCTACCGTAATCTAGCCATTTGCTTTTCATACTTATTTTGCTTCGCAATCATAAATCTAGCGTAGAAAAACTTTAAATTCCTGAAAATGGGTTATCTGAAACACATTTAAAGAGAGAACGGACCAATGGCGAGCCAACAGCAGCGGAGGGTGCAAGAATGGGTTATTGGACTTGGAACACAATTTTCTCGGTTCCTATAAGAGCTATCAAAATTTTGTCAACTGATAAAATATTGGTGATGTCATGATAAGCATTTTATCTGTGTACAGTTTTTTGATGTCTTTAATAGGAATCGAGATAATTGAGCTCAAAGTTCAGGAAAATCTAAAAAGCGCTAAATACCATTACTTACACTTAGAGCTTAATTATCTCGGTTCCTATAAGAGCTATCGAACATTTGTCAACTAATAAAATTTTACTGATATTATGATAAACATTTGATTAGTTTTCAGATTTTTGATATCTTTCAAGGGAATCGAGATAATTTGGCTCGAAGTTGAATGATAGCATAATTATTTTATTAGAGGCTTTAGTCTGGATGTCCATCAACAAAGATAATCATTGAAATGTGATGAGGACGTTATAACAAGAATGTTATAATAGAACATTTATTCATACAAAGTTAAAAAGATAGGATAATGTAAACGTATTCAAAATTTCCCAATTAATATGAACCAAAACACTATACGGTGAAAGTTGTAATAGAAGAATTACTTCAACTTTGAGTTTACTTATTTCGGTCCCTATGAAAGATATAAAAAATTTGTCAATTAATAAAATGTTAGTGATATTATGATAAACAATTTATCAGTTGACACATTTTTGATATCTTTTACAAGAATCAAGATAAATTGCCTCAAAGTTAGGGGACCCTTCTATTACTGATGTTACGGTAGTTATAATGTCCGCAGGCAATATGGTATATGAACATGGGATGATTCTATTAAAACTGAAAGAACAAATTCGAATTGAAGTATACAAAGGATTCAAAGTTTCGTAAGAACTGGAGATGTGGAATATTCTGAAGATGATGCAGACGATGAGAAGCTCTCCAAACTTTCATCCAACTCCTTGAAGAATCGTTCTGGATCACTGGTCTCGTCAAAGGATGCCTGCCTTGAAGATCCTTCAGCCTGGCTTGATGGATCTTTAAAAAGAATGAGCCCTAGAATCTGTTCTCTGGATGCAAGACGCACTTTCGGTTGTTGCTCAGGGAACATTGGAAGTTGATTCTGAAACACTTATAAGTCTAAAATCTACAGTAACCCGATTTATTGATTTTCAGCCATTTTGACCATTTACAGGGTCTGAAGATCGTCTGTCAGGTTTTCGATCGCTTTGAAAATTTTGAATAGTGTAAAACAGACCTAGATTGAAAACTTTGCGTACACAGAATTTTTGAAAATTTCTAGTTTTTCAGATCTCTACAGTATCTAGTAGCTTACCTGCACATCCTCTTCCTCATTGAGAATCATTCTCAACGTCTTGATATACTCCGTTGCCAACTGCAGTGTTGCTATCTTTGCTAGTTCCTGTTTACTGTTAGTGATAATAGGTAGACGGCTGAAAATTAATTTTTTTTTTTAAATTCACAAAAATGAAACTCACTCTGCCAGATTTTTTATCTTTTTATTGATCACTTTATATCGTTCTCTTTCCCTTTTGGCTCTTTTTCCGTTCAGTTGGGTTACAGGTTTTCCTCTGGTCATTTTGGAGAGAACGTCGTGAGCGAGCTAGACTGGTGTCAGATGACGTGGGGGACGATTAGGGCGGTACATGGGCCAACAAACAGAATAGTGTGGTTTGAAGTACGGTTATAAAGTGATTGAGAATTCAGCATCTCCTGGGAAGAATTTGGGGCGTTAGTGGGCGGAGTACGGTAGTCAGAATTGCTAAATCTGGCAGTGACAACTGGGGACGGACCAATGGCGGCCCAGCGTCTGGAATTTTTCACATTTTTTAGCCTATTCTTTATAGCTTAAAGGAGGCCAGACACGAAAGTCTACGGGGTTTTCTTGGGGCGAGATCATGCATTCTGACGGAAAGTCGTGCGATTGCGACCAATGCGCGCTACTTGACGAGCATTTATTTTTTTTTAGGACACACTAGATTTCTTCAATGTTAGGCGATAATTCCATACTTTTTGTCGATATTCTGTTATTCCATGATGTCGCCGCATGAAAACAGAAAAAAAACGAAAACGGGTAGGTGGGAATCGAACCCGCGATGCGTGACCGGTAGACAAGCGCGTTCACCTCTACACCAAACGGCGCCTGCCATCGGCTGCCGCTAAAACGGTTATGAAACGAGGAGTGTGTCGCCGCTTGGAAGAACGTTCGCGTTCTCGCTTGTACGGCAACATAGAGTTATGGTTAGGTGAACATACATATTTTCTGACTGTACCGTGTCATATATCAAAAAACTAGAATTTTAACATTTTTCATGTCTGACCTCCTTTAAAAATGTTTTTTTTTAATTTTGCACTTTTTTGTTTAGTATTCGTTTCTCGATTATTTCTATAATGAGCTAAATTTTCTTGATTTCCATTTTATGAGCTTTCCAACCCAATTTCGGCTCATTCGACTATATTCCTGATCTTGGCATCTATTTAGATTTTTTGAAATCCCAATTTTTAAGCTTATTGACAACATTTTGAACTTTTCTAGCTACAATGTTGATGCAGCCTACAGTATCGGTCAATAAGATACAGTGGCGAGAAGTGGTGAGGAGAATTTTTTCGAGCTAACTTTGTTCAAAATCGCTCAATTGACTTAAAATTTTGGATGAGAGTAGCTGTAAAATCAAAACATAAAAATCGGTTTTTTTTTTGAAAATCTCTCAGTTTCAGAATTTTCAGAGCAGTTTCAGATGTAACAGTGGTCAGAGAATCCAAAAAAAAACACTTTCTTTCAGAATTTTTTCTGGCTTCGATCTTAGATGTCAAGTAATTCTATTGTCCAAAAAACGATGTGTTTTGAGATTTTATGTTAAAAGTTTCTCAATTGTAGAAAAAATGTTTCTCATTTTTAGATTTTAGAAATTTTCCGTAGAGTTAAAAAAAAATGAAAAAAATTGTTTTCTACAATTAAAACACTTTTGTTATAAAACTGATAAACAACTCAAGACACACCATTTGTGAGATTTTGAACACCAAAAATAAATTTTCAGCTGAGTTATGGCAAAAATGCCGACACATACCTTTTGTGCTCTGAGCATCATAACTCACATATTTGGACAAGAAAATTACTTGACATCTAAAATCGAAGCCAGAAAAAAATTCTGAAAAACGTTTTTTTTGGATACTCTGACCACTGTTACATCTGAAACTGCTCTGAAAATTCAGAAAATGAGCAATTTTCAAAAAACCGATTTTTATTTTTTTGAATTTTACAGCTATTCTCATGCAAAATTTCAAGTCAGTTGAGCGATTTTGAACAAAGTTATAAATGTTCGGAAATATTCTCCTCACCACTTCTCGCCACTGTATATACAAAAACGTATTTGCAGTTGATTTTTGGCATTTTCAGAAGACTGGAATTTTGTAGGGGGTAAACCAAAACTATAATGAACAATACGCATTCACAGAATTTTTTGGAAATTCCTTTTTTTGCTGATTTCTGAAAAACACTTCTTTTTGACCAGATTTGTACTGAAGAAGTGAAAAACAGATTGAAAATTGAAAATTTTCGATTTCAAATTTTGTACTCCTCGTGGACAATCCGACGCGCGGACTCTAAATTTTCGGTTTGCAAAGCAGCTCGAAAGTCGATTTTTAGTTGTAAAATCGCTAAAAGTCAAAAACGAAAATTTAAAAACTTGTAGACTTCGTTTTTAGAGAAATTCGATGTTTTTACTTCCATCGATTTTACACCAAACAAAACCGAGTTTTAAACTGCTTTGCGGCCCAAAAATTTGAATTCCGCGCGTCGACTTGTCCACGAGGAGTACAAAATCTTCAATCGATCAAAACACCCGATTAGTCGAATTTCAATGATTTTTGTGCATTTTTGAGTAGAAAATGTCAAATTCCAGACATTTTTTTACGTTGGGGTGTCTTTGAGAAATGGGAAAATAACTTTAAAAATTGGAATTTTTAAAAAATACTATATATGAATTCAAAGTTTTTAATCTAGGTCTGTTTTACACCCTCCGAAGTGTTCAAAGTGATCGGAAACTTGTATTATCTTATTAACCATTTTTTGAATTCCACAATTTTTTAGGCATTTCCTCTAGCTACACAGACAACCTAGCTACTCAAAAACTCCAAAAAAGTGCTCTACAGTGGTCCTAACATTGGTCCTAACATCCATTTTCCTTTCTCCCAATTCTTTTTGACTTTCCCATGCCCCAAAACGCAATCCTACGGGTCAAACGATGTCAAACTGACGAGCAAGTACCGTACTTTGCTAATCAAGAAACTGGGAATGTTTCTCCAGGGAAGAGTTGTATAAGAGTGTGATATGCGGTATATCCTTTGTCTTCTAGAACATTTGTTAGAGGAGGGGCGAGGGGACAGAAGACCTTTAAGAGTTACAGTACACATTTTGGCCATTTTTAATAGTCTAGAGCTTCGTTGTCAAGTTTCCAACCTTTTTGAAATTTTCGGATAGTGTAAGACATACCTAGATTGAAAACTTTGCATTCACTGAATTTTTTGAGAATTTCTAGTTTTTCAGCTATTTGCTGATTTCTGAAAAAAAAAACCTCTTTTCTTTCAGAAGTACCCCCAAAAATAATGAATCCAGCCAATCAGAACAATTTCCAAGAATTGGAAATAGCATTCAATTTATTGGCCAGGTAAGCTAATTACCCTTTTTTAATCAACTTTTCCTCATTTTTCAGATACATTCCATACTGGAAAGATTTCAAGCAGACTGCAACAGCTACGGAAATTTTAGTCCTGGCTCAAAGATACATCGAGCACTTGAAGGATGTTCTTGATGGGGTACAAACGGTAAGTGATGTGCATAATCTCGGTTCCTATAAGAGATATGGATAATGTGTCAACTGATAAAATATTGGTGATATTATGATATATATTTTATCTGTTGACAGCATTTTGATATCTGTTAGAAAAAGCGAGATAACTGAGATCAAAGTTAAGAAAATCAAAATAACCTCAACTACCGTTACTTGCACTTTGAGCCCAATTATCTCGGCTCCTATGAGAGATGTAAAAAATTAGTCAACTGATAAAATATTGGTGATATTATGATAAATATTTTATCAGCTGTTCAATCTTTAATATCTCTCCAGGGAACCGAGATAATCGAGCTCCAAGTGCATCTACCCACTCTTGGGCACTCCACCGCTGTTGGCTCGCTATCGGTCCGTTCCCTCTTCTGTGTTCCGGACAACCTCGTTCCCAGAAATTTTGACGTTTTTAAGCTAGGTTTATGTTTGCGTAGTTTCATGTATACCAAATCAGTAGGTTACTGTAGTAAGGAACCGAGATAACTGAGCTCAAAGTGCGAAGAATACTATTTGGGGCTTTTTAGATTCTTTAAACTTTAAGCTTTTAGATTTCTTTAAACTGTAATTATCTCGGTTTTCATGAGAGATATCAGAAATGTGTCAACTGATAAAATATTAGTGTCTTTATGATAAATTTTTTATCAGTTTACAGATTTTTGATATCTTTTAAAGGAGCCGAGATAATTCAGCTTAAAAAAGGTAATAATCTGAAAGTGTGAAAATTTCAGTATGATGTGAAAACCGGAAAAACTCGAAACTTGGCTATGGAAGACTTCAAAAACGGGGTTGGATATGAGTTGGAGCAGTTGCGTGAGCCAAGTAGAAAGCGTCGGGCGACGGAGCACGAACTGGAGCCAGAGCCAAGTAAGTTTGATTTTGAATTTCTAAATTAAATTCAAAAATTCAAGAATTCAAAAATTCAAAAAATCAAAAATTCAAAAATTCAAAGATTCAAAAATTCAAAGATTCAAAAATTCAAAAATTCAAAAATTCGAACCAAATCAATCTGTCAAGAAAAACCAATAGCAAGGAGAACAGAGGGGAGCAGAACGTCCGAGGGGCAGAAACACTAAGAACACACTCACAAAAAACAAGAGTGAGGGCAGACAGACAATTGGAAAGCAGATATTTGACCTTGAGATGGATGAGTGAGATTTATGCAACCAACGACGTCCAACTGTTTCAAGAAATGAGACAAAATTTAATTTTTTTTTAATTTTAAAGATGTACATAGAATTACTAATAACACTCACCAAATTCTGTATGTGCGTGTGTATGTAGCGTGCCTTTTCCTCCATTTAAAGTTAACCGATTGAGTTGAAACTTGACAGATAGGTCAGAATTGTGTCTTAGTTGATGCCCGAACTTTTCTTATTTTGAAATTTCGATTTTGAAGTCTTTTGGAGACGTTCCTTGATTTCATCGCAGTGAAGCGTGGTGCGCAGAGAGGGCGAGAAAATCCAACAGACGTAGGCCATGAGGTTAACCTGGTTATGCCCCCGTGGTGCGTAAACCGACTGGTAACTCTTAATTGCTCATTTTTACTAGATCATATTAACTTCGGTTTTGGGAAGTTTTTTAGAAAAAAAATCTTCCCTTTTTTTCTATAGAAAGCAGACGTCGCTGATTATCGGCTCAGAAGCTTCACTTGAAGCTCTCGTGTTGAGAATAATCCTAATTTATCGTAGAATTGACTTCCTACGTATTCGTGTCTGTCTTCCAGCCACTCTACAATACGTCATAACGAAGAAAAAGAGACCCAGCTGTTGTACCTGACATATGGAGCTTCTGTCTTTTGTGCAGTGTTCTCTATCTGAGAAACTGGGAATTTTCTGAGAATTCTTTGAATGCGAAGTTTTCAATCTAGGTCTGATTTACACCCTCATAAATTTTCATTGGAAACTTGATAGTTGAGCTCCGGACTCTTAAAAATGGTCAAAATGATCAAAATTACGTTTTTGTATACCTTGTTGACAGATACTGTACATTTTCTTAATGGAATTTTTTTTTCAATTTTTATTAACAAAATTAGAAATTGTGAAAATTACAGAATGTTTTTATTGGTCCCGATTTTCATACATGCAGTTGTTTTGTTCTTAGCTCTTCTTCGTAGTGGAAGCTATAATTCATATATCCTCGAACAACACAGGACAAATCAATGTAGCAGAAAGAAATAATGATGTTATAGTAGAAGTGACCAATTATGAATGCCTGAAAACATAACAAATATAAATATAAAAATGAAAGAAAACAACTTACTGGCATACGAACCATTCGTCCACAAAGCGCTGTTAGAACAAAAATGATCAGCGGATTATAAAATTGATCATTTCCATAATGGAAAATATAACGGTTCATCGGTTCGCACAAGAACTTCAAGTACAGGAAGCCTGCATGGAAAGTGTGAAAAGCGTACACCAAATTGTTTATCTGAACATAAAACCCTTTTTTGAATGATTTTAAATATCGCGAACCCACCATGCGTCAATCGGTATAATACAGGAAAATTTGAGCGAAAATTGAATATGCCAAAATTCCGGAATAGGCAAAAATCAATTTTTCACGAACGTCATTTAGTTGCTTCTCGATTCGCAAAACTCCTTTGACTATAACAGTTGATAACTGAACTAAACAAAACGCTAGTACCCAATACTCTACGTTTGGTTCGTTGCGAGAAAGGTAACAAAGATATGGTGAGAGAATAGTCGAAAAAAGCAGTAGAAATGGTGCGCCTGAAGTGTCGGGAGTCGGAAGCACATATTTCGACATTTCTGGAAAACAAAATACAGATTAATGTGATTTTAAAGGTGGGGGGACATGAAAAAAATAATGTTCTCGAAATTCCGTTTAAATATGCCCCTCGAGGAGTTGAACTTGTGAGGGCGTTGATTGAGGGTGCGGCGCCGCTACCGACTGAGCCACGCGGGCAAAGAGGCAGCCGGCGCCCGATTGCATTCATAAAGGTGAGGACGACCGCTGTACGCAGAGTGGCATTAAGCGTTGTACACCGTCGCGGTAGAATGCATACCCTAGCTACAAAATCCTACGAAAAATCTCCTGTCCCCCCACCTTTAAACACAAATGAAACTGATAAAAATGTGGTAAAGAAAAACGTTTGTAGGTGAAACATAACGAAAATATTCTAATAGAATGGCCCCGAACCGGGGCAAACGCCTAAGGAACTAGAAACACAGTCACAAAGAACGAGATTGAGGACATATGACGAGCAGGTGTTTGACCTTAACCCCCATGAGATAGGAGGATGATGAAAGGAAGACCTCCCACCTAATTTTAACTTTGAGCCAATTTCTCTTAGCTCCTGTGTAAGATGAAGAAGTTGTGTCAACTGATAAAAGGTTACACACATTATGATAAGCATTTTATCAGTTGACCGATTTTTGGTATCTTGGATAGGAAATGAGATAAAATGGCTCAAAGTTGATGGTTTGTAGCTTATGAGTACTTGCAATATCTAAGAAAATGTGAAGCAAAAACGATAAAAATGCGGGACCAATCCAAAAATCGATGTCTCAAATGTGTGTCTTTCTCCCAGTCTACAATACGTCATACCAAGGTAAAAAGGGGCACAGATGTTTTGGCTGACCTGCGACCGTTTGCCTGTTGCGCAGTGGTCCCTCTTTTCCCGCTCAACGGTATTTTTTGAATGTGTTTCTAGTCCCTAACTCGGTATTCCTTATGGTTTCGTCTACAGTACCGGTCCATAAGATATACAAGAACGTATTTTTGGGTTGATTTTCGGCCGTTTTGACAAATTTTGTAACTTTTGAAAAGTCGTTTGCAAATTTGTCAAAAATGAATGTTTGAAATTTTTTTTTGAAAAATAGACAAAATTTCCTACAATTCTGTTTTGAAATCACATTTCTAGGAACCGAGATAGAAACCGAGATAGAGCCAGTTCTAGGAACCGAGATAGAGCCAATTCAAATTTAGGAGGCTAGAGACGCAGCCGACGAGACACGCTGCGTCTCTAACCTCGGGAACTTCAAATGACCGTATCTCGAGTTCTAGATGAGCTAGAAAGTTGGTTTTTAGACAAAATTGAACGGTTTATAACAACTATTTAGATTATCTATGAAATGTGTGTTTTCCAAGTTTTTTTTTCTATCAAAAAAAATAACCAATTAGTATTTGTTTCCAGAAATGCTCAAGAGAACTGTGCAAATTGAAATCGTCCAGCCTCCCGACACCCTTGCACTCATTCCAGTACTGTTATGGCCAACTTTTCTTCCAACAACCGTCTGTTACTTTACACTCAGAGACTCAATCGGAGAGTACTTGTTCAAAGAGGGTGGTACATCAGCAAGTTTCCTCATGCATGAAACAGTTTTAGCAAGTTGCTATTTGCTTGCCATGAAAAGAGCAAGTTGCCGTTCTCAGGTAAATCGGAAAACCTTTCTGAGCTACATTTGAGCAATTCTGAAACCTTTTCAAGCAAAAAGTCCACGATTAAACTTTTCCAAGCCATAATCAAACTTTTCAAACTTTTCTAAGCAACTTGTAAACTTTACTCAGCTGCGCTCGAAACTGAAACTTTTTCAAGCCACAGTTAAACCTTTTCAAGTCATATTTAAACTTTCCAAACCTTTTTGAGCCCTATTAAAACCTTCCGGCTTTTCGAAAGATTTATTCTGTTTTTTTTTAATTATTTTACCTGATATTGTTTTATTTTTATCATCTTTTACTTTTTTGCTCGTTTCCCTGTGTTTGAAAGTCATAAAATGTTTATTTGGGAGAAGATCCAAATCACAATCTCCTGGAATCATAATCTATTGCTCAAGAACTATCATCGAAAAAACGTCATTTTGAATCATTGAATGGGAATTCAAACCTGCCGTCAGAACGGAGTAATTTAGCCTACGGTTCGTCAGTTTTAGTAAAAAATGTCTTTATCAATCATAATTTCAGACAAGTAGAAACTTCAAACTTCCGAAGCGACAATTTGGAAAATCGTGTTATACCAATATGAGGAAGACTAGATCATGATCGCGATCACATGAACCTGCTCCAAAGACACTATCGAAAATACGTATGAATCAGAAGAGAACGTCTTCGATAACAGTGAGTTGTAGCTCTCAATATCTATTTCTAAAAATTTTAAATATCTTCAGAAGGATATAATATTAAACTGGTAACAACGGGGATGCGCTATGATCTGAGGTCCGGAGATGTTTCGGGATCGAGATTCCACTTCAGTTTAAATTTTCTTGTTTTTTGTTCATTTCTTTTTCTCGAATGAATGTATTTTCTGAAAATCCGTCTTCAAAAGAATCAATAGTTGAAACCTTTAGTAGAAACGATAAAACCTTTTTAGCAGTAAAACAACTTTTTTAAGCAACGAATAAACTTTTTTAAGTATCAAAAAAACTTTTCTAAGCCCTTCTCTAACTTTTTCAAGCAACGAGTAAACTTTTTTAAGCAACAGTAAAACTATTATTAGCACTTTCAAACTTTTTCGAGCAATGGATAAACTTTTCTAAGCAACAACGAAACTATTCTAAGCCCTTTATAATTTTTTTCAGCCGTGGCTAATCGGGCACCTTTTTTAGTTTAATAGTGGCTAGTTTATGGCTCAGAAAGGTTTTCCAAACTACCTGAGTTCTCTTGCTGCGTTCTGATGACATTCAAATGTTCTCGAGTTATTGATTTTACTTTTGTCCTATTTTATCCTATTTTATCTTTTTTTTCCGCTTGTTTTTATCGTTTTCCAAACTAACTTCACAACAAAATGGAAGGAAAGCTTGAAGGTAATATCAAAAATGTGTATTGTTCGGAAAAATTAATATCTTTTCAGTTTTGGAATCACCCATATTTCAGAGCCGAGAAATTGTCGATGACGATTTTCGAAACTATATACTATTACATTAGAAAACGATATCATTGAAAACTTTTGTCTGAAGAAGTAGATTCGTTAGGAAAAGAAGATTTCAATGAAGGTGAGTATAGTGCGTTTCATAAGTATAGGTTCACCCTCGGTAGACAAGGTGGGAAATCTTGGAGGTTTGGGGTTGTTATAATATTAAAGTCCATGTAAAAATACATATCGCCCACAATTTTTAGACCGCTACTACAAAAAATAAATTTTTTATGTCAGAAAAAGTCTTTTTTTTGAAAAACGAGCGTTTCATAAGTATAGGTTCACCCTTGAAAAAAATTACAGTTTCACATAGGTGATAACTTTTTAACTATTTTTACTGTTTTTAACTATTTTTGCGTCTTTTACTTCGTTTTTCTTATGCCGCGAGCCACTCATCTCTCGGATTCGGAGCGAGCTCAGATCGACGCGTTCAAAACGGCTGGATGGTCGAATCGGCGCATCGCAGCTAGGTTAGGACGGTCTTTCAATTGTATTAACACGTTTGTTAACAATCCGGACCACTACGAGACCAACAAGAAGAGCGGAGCTCCGAAAAAATTGACGGATCGAGACACGAGAAGCATCATCAGACTGGCATCCAATTCGATGAAGAGCTGTAACGACATAAAGAATGAGCTGAAACTGGATGTGAGCAAGTCCACGGTCTGGAGAACACTGGACAGCAATCAGAACATTGTCCGAGCCAAGTTAATGTCCGCGCCGATGCTCACCGATGCTCACAAGGCGAACCGATTTCAGTTTGCAAGGAACAACATGGCAACTGATTGGGATAAGGTATGGAATGCTTTTGAAATCATCACTTATGCTGTTTTCTATTACAGATCATCTTCAGCGATGAAAAAAAGTTCAATCTGGACGGGCCGGACGGCTTCAACAGTTACTGGCACGACCTGAAGAAGGATCCCCTCCATTTCTCCAAGCGTAACTTCGGTGGTGGTCGTCTTATGGTCTGGGGAGCATTCTCTTCTGCCGGTACTGTGGATTTGGCGTTCGTCTCCTTCAGAATGAACTCGGCAGACTATCAGGATGTCATGACTGCCAAACTGATCCCATATCTTCGCCGTTTTCATCGGCGTCAGCTCACATATCAACAGGACAATGCTTCGATTCATGCGAGCAGATCAACTTGGACTGGTTCAAGTCCAAAAAAATTAAGGTGGTGAATTGGCCGGCTTGTTCGCCGGATTTGAACCCAATGGAGAATGTTTGGGCTGAACTCGTGCGCGTCGTATATGGTCAGGGAAAGCAATACCAGACCGTTTCTGAGCTCCAAACTGCCATCGTGGACGCATGGAAGAACCTGAAGAAGCCTTACCTCCAGAAGTTGTTAAATTCCATGCCAAACCGCTTGTTTTCTATTATTTCCACTGGTGGAAAGCCCACAAAGTATTGAATTGAATAAAACTTTGTTAATGTTAAATGTTCCGGGGGTGAACCTATACTTATGAAACGCTCGTTTTTCAAAAAAAAGACTTTTTCTGACATAAAAAATTTATTTTTTGTAGTAGCGGTCTAAAAATTGTGGGCGATATGTATTTTTACATGGACTTTAATATTATAACAACCCCAAACCTCCAAGATTTCCCACCTTGTCTACCGAGGGTGAACCTATACTTATGAAACGCACTGTATCAGGCTTGTTAGGAAAAACAAATTCGGAAAATCGAGTTCTCGAATTTTTTCTCGACTTTTTTTTCGGAAAATCGAGTTCTCGAATTTCAATTAGTCAAAAATTACCAGTTTATTTGAAATTCACCTTTAAAAAAATTCACCTTAAATCGACCCCGTAAATCGACACCGATTGCGGGTCTCGCCGCGCTTGGGTTACTGTTGCACCCGTTTCAACTATACAAAGTAGAGATTTCCTCTTCACTTTGAACGCAGCATGATTATTTCGAGAAAAAATTTTCCGAAAAAAAATTCGGAAAATTTTCCGAAAAAAATCGGAAAATCGGAAAAATCGAGAACTCGATTTTCCGATTCCGACCAAGCCTGGTGAGTATGTTTAATCATACTTATTTCAAACGGCCGATCAGTTGAAGAAACTCTTCATAGTCTTTTCCAGTATCATTTGACGACGATTATGTGGCCAGCAAGTTGAACAGCTCGAACTAAGATCACCGAGGAACAAGCAATTTTGGAAAATTCGAATTATAGAAGAAAAACAAGAGATATTATCGATGGAACTCTATAGTTTATTATGAAACTATATTAAAAAAACTATATAAAATATGCCGAGAAAGTGATCATCTAAACCGGAAAAGAATATTTATTCAAAGCTCGTCATCTCGTCTTTATAATTTCTCTACGAAATAGTCATCGAGCTCGAAAATATTTTTATGGTGCCATCATCCATATAGTGACTTTATCAAGTTAAATATCGAAGAAAACCTGGAAAAGCGAACAATTGAAGCAGCGACACTGTGAGTTGCTAATTTTAAAAACAATATTCAGAACTTTTTTCAGTTATCACAGTATCTCTCACGACCTTTGCGACAAGCCAACTATGAAGTTGGATCACATTTCGAAAATACTTGACAAATAAAGTAAGAAAAAATTTTTTCAAGCAGTTCATCAAATCTTATTTTCAGAAGTTCCTAAGAAATCGTTTATGATGCAAAACTTTGAATTCACTTGAATGTCGAAATTGATGGAAGTTTCTATTAAGATACACATTTAGGAGAGCTCAAAACGCAAAGGAATGCCTACGTCTTTGCAAGAAATTTCCTCAGATTCTTGAAAAATTTTTTGAAATTTGAACATTGTCCCAGTATCTCTTATTTTGTACCCTCCACCTATAGTTATTTTCTCGTTTTTCATACTTTTGTTTTCTCATATTGTTTCTTCAATAAATATGTTCAGTAGCTGAAGTGATTCGTAATTATGAAAAAAAAACTCTTATTTCGGCAAGTTGCCATCTAGATTTCCTGAAGAACGGCAACTTGCTCTATGAAAAAGCAAGTTGCTGACCCGAAAAAACTGCTTGCCGTTTGTCAGCGGCAAGCAGTTTTTTCGAGTTAGCAACTTGCCGAAAAATTCCCTGAGGATATTATGATAAATAATTTATCAGTTGACAGATTTTTGATATCTCTCATAGGAACCGAGATCATTGAGCTCGAACTTGAAAAAGTGGGGGATCTTTCTATTACAGGTTTTACCGTAGCTGTTTTTTAAATACGATTTTCAGCTTTTTAAATCTAAAACATCGCTCGAAACACCATTTTTATGCTATTTTTTGTTTAATTCAATTTTTCTTGAAAATCTTGGTTTTTTTTTCATTTTTCCAGATTTTCACGCGAATTTTTAGGTTTTGAATTATTCCAGACTTATTTTTTCATCGATTTCCCGTCTAAAACCCTCGCTTTTTGTCTGAAAAACTTGAAAATCCCATGAAAATAGGCTGAAATTTGCGATTTTTCACAATTCCCCCCTACGACGAAATCGCGCTCCATCGCTAAAATTTGGTGTTCTCGGCCACGGCCACCCGTGATTTTTTGCGAAATTTCTAGATTTTTCTAGAAAAAAAGGTGATTTTCAGGTTAGAAAGAAGGTTTCTCGTCGAAAATTTATTATAAAAACATTCTAGAATAAATTAAATCATTTTGAGACCAGAATTTCAAAGTATTCTATCAGTTTTCATGGAAAAAATTGGATTTCTAGTTTTGAAAATTTTTTTTTCTGTAATTTTTGACCAGCAAAAAACCGCCAAAATTCATGTTTGCCGCTAAAAATTGAATTTTCATCTGTTTTTCAATCAAAACGGGTTTTTTTCCCAATTCTCTCGAATTTTCTCGGATTTTCCCAATTTTACTCTAATTTTTCCCAATTTTCAGCCTCAGAAAAATGGCAAATCTCGACCAATGGAAGCAACTACTCGCCATGTCCACCAAAGTCACCGAAACCGAGAACAGCGAAAATTTCCAGAAAGATTTGAAGGATATGCAGGCGGCAACCGATGCCATGAAGGGAAATAAGGCGGAGGTTTTGAAAAAAAAGCGGGAAATTCAATTTTTTCGAAAATTTCAAATTTTCAGAACATGCAATTCCTGGAATTGGCGATGCGAGAGGCTGTCGGTGGTCAAGAGGGTCCGTGCCTCTTCACACAATTCTTCTTGCTGGGCGGCGACGATCCGGAGACTTTGGTGGATTCGCCTGCCAAAATTGCTGCTGCCAAGGTGAGAAAAATGCTGAAAATAGCTGAAAAATCGTCTCAGGAAAATTTATTAAATGCCTCTCGGGGCTATTTCTAAGCTGATTCTAGTGTCAAAAAGTAGATTTAAAGCCTAAAAATCGGCTAGAAATCGTCAAAAATCCATTTTCCAGGAGCTCGCCGACCAACTCGAGGACTATCTTCTTCTCGGAAACTTTGCCGAGCAATTCCAGCAAGCCAGCGGGCTGAAGGCGTTGGCCAACTTGACGGTAAGGCTGAAAAATGGCTGAAAAGTGGCTGAAAAGTGCTGAAAATCGCTTTTTTGGGCACGATTTTGGGTGTAAAACGCCGGAAATCGTGTCAAAAATTGACCGAAAATTGTTTAAAATGGCTAAATATCCGATTTTCCAGCGCAATTTTCGGTCATAAATTCGATAACGTGCCAAAATTGGGTCAAAAATCGCTAGAAAATCAACAAATTTAGGCTGGAAATTCATTAAAAATTCGATTTTTGGCACTTTTTTCGAGTGCGGAAATCTAGAAATCTCTTAAAATTCAACTAAATTAGCTGAAAATCGATAATATCGGGCGGAAAATCGGCTTAAAACGCCTGAAATCGAGTCAAAACTTGACTATAATTTGTTAAAAATGACTGAAAATCTATTAATTTAGTTCAAAAAATCCGAAAAATTGAGATTTTCAGATAATTTAGCTCCAAAATCGAGCTTAAATATCGTATTTTTCAGAAAATTTTGCATTTTTCAGTCTCTAAAACCTTGAAAATCTTCTCAAAAATCTAAGAAAACTGCCTCAAAACCATACTTGTAAAATTCCGGGCCGGCCCGCCAAAGCCCGGGCCCGGGCCGGGCCTGAGGAAATTTTCAAGGCCCCCGGGCCCGGCCCGGAAGGCCCGGTAGCAAAAATTTTGTCATTTTGAGCCAAATTTTGAGCTCTCAATACAATTTTCTCCATTATTTTTTGTGTTTTTAGATTGTTTGTTTGTTTGATCAAAAAATATCAACAAAACTCGAAAAAAAAATTTTTATCGAAAAAAAATCACATAAGGGTCCCCCCTTATGTGTTTTTTGAAATTTTCAAAACTTGTGGAATGACAGGCCCGGCCCGTTACAAGTATGCTCAAAACCAATTTTTTATACAATTGTTCATTTCCAGTGCTCCAAAAACGAGGAAATCCGCCTACTGTACCTTCGCCTGGTCCCCCAACTCGCCGAGAATCGTCTCGCATTCCAAGAAATGCTCGTTGATTCTCCAGTCTTTGAGAAGTATCTCCAGATGCTCGACGACTACAAAACCATGAAGCCAGCCATCCTTCTCGCCCTTCTTTCAGCCATTTCAGCCATTATCAGAGGCTCCAAACCCGCGTTTTTGAAGTTCCACAAGGCCAGAGGAACTGATAAGGTGCTGACGATTGTGAAGCTCGTCGAGGATGATAAGTGCGCCGTTCGTGCCGCCTATCTGCTTTGGAGCATCAATGAGAGCCTTTCGGGTGAGGAGTTTTGAAGAAAATAATATTTTTCAGTCGATTTTCGGACATTTTGATCATTTTCGGGAGTCTGGAGCTTGGCTTTTTTTGCAACCAAAACTGATTAAAGGCGCGTGCAATAATTTGAAAAATACAGTAAGGTTCTCTCTGTGGGAGCTAAGCTCCGCCCACCGTTGTTTTCTCGGCCGCAACGTGCATTGATTTCGGACAAGAGTAATAACGCTTTTCAGCTCTAAAATGTCGTTTTTCAGCCCTGAAAATGGTCAAAAAAGCCAAAAAAAAAACTAGAGAAATCGATAAAAATCGCTAAAATTCTCCTGAAAATCATATTTTTCCAGACGCCGACTTGGGCTACACTGGTCGCTACCCCGAGGAGAATGACGTCACCGAGGAGGAGTACTCCGACGAAGAAGCGCTCTACAGAGAATTCAAAAATTCATCGAATTTAAAGAAATCGACGACGCAGAAGAAACGCAAAACGATTTCCAACAGAATCAAGTCCAAAAAGCCGATTGGCAAGGATTTCAAACCACTTGTGGAGCTTCGAAATGTGCTCTTCAGCGCGTATTTGGCACTGAAGGACCGGATTCCACAGATGGAAATGGAGAGAGAGGAGGTTGGAGAGGAGGATTTCGATGAGGCGGTTTATGAGTTCGCGCAGGAGACGTTCCAGAAGATTCGGTAGGTTTTTGAGCCATTTTGATCGTTGAAAGCCTCTTTTGCTCCAGAAATCCCGCAAAATCGCTGAAATTCCAACTTTTTGGGCTATTCTGATCGTCGAAAAGCCTCCAAACATCGAAAATGTGGTCTGGAAATCCTGAAAATCCCAAAAAAGCTGAAATTAGGGCCGAAAAGAGCGGTTTTTAGCATTCGAAATTCAAAAAACGCGAGTTCGGCCACCTGCGAAACCTAGGCCACGCGGCCGTATACTCCACGAGGACAAGAGCCTAAAATTCAGGATTTCGAGATTTTCAGGTTTTTCAAGTGGTTTTTCGACGATTTTAGAAGATTTTGATGGAAGAATAAAAGCAAAATACGTGAAAAATCACTGTAAATCTAAATATTACTGAAAAAATTTCGAAAAATCAGTTTTAGTTGCAAAAACTTTTTTTTTTTTTGAAAAAATTAAATTTTGGAATTTTTTTTCAGAATTTTTTAATTCCTAATTTCACAGACATTTTCCACTTCTTTTGCATTAATTTTTCGATCAAAAATCTGAAAAAAAATGGTAGAAAATTCACCAGAAAACCTGAAAATCTCGAATTTTAGCTCTTGTCCTCGTGGAGTACACGGCCGCGTGGCCTAGGTTTTGCAGGTGGCCGAACTCGGGAAAATGAAGATGTCGAGTTGAAATCGTTTTTGTGGGGAAAATAAGAGGAAAAAATCGAGGAATCCGAAAAATATTGAAAAAATCGAAAATTTCCGATATGAAATTCTGAAAATTCGAAAAAATGAAAAAAATAAAAATTGGCTCCAAATTTAAAGTTTTCGACTGTCCAAATAAAAAGGAAGACATCCACAAAGTTCGAATTTTTCGAAATAATCATTTTTCCAGCTCCATCCTCCTCCGCGTCGACCATCACGACGTCCTCGACAAAACCAAGACCCTGATGGCCGATTTCCTGAAGACGTCGAATCGCGCCAAGAAGCAACGAGGAAGAAAAGTGAAGCTGACTGCGGACCCCGTCGCCAAGAGATTCGACATTCGTCAGTGGTACTCGAGGGATGAGATGTTCGAAATTTTCAAGGCCAGCGACAAGGATATTAAGAATCTGACCGATGCGGTGAAGAAAGTTCAATTGAAGAAGTAGATCCCTCTTTTTCTCTAAATCTCCAAAATTCCTGTGATCTTTTGCCCCGCCCGATTGCTCATCCTTATATTGTTTATTTATGTTGTCCCCCCATTCCCTGTGAAAATTTATACTAATTATATGAAGATACTGGTCCCATGGATAATTTCCTACATTTTGGTCTTAATTTAAGCAATATTGGACAATTTTTGGTCGAGTTACGGTCATTTTAGGATTTTTCAGTCTGTTCCGCCCGAGTTGCATGAAAAATTAGGTCATGACCTAGAAAAAATTTGGTCATGACCTAGAAAAATTTAGGTCGTGACCTAGAAAAAATTAGGTAATGACCTAGAAAAATTTAGGTCATAGCTTAGAAAAATTTAGGTCGTGACCTAGAAAAAAACCAAGACAAAAAAGCATTTTTTTTTCAAATTTTCATTTTTTTTTTGGTCATCAATCAATTTTTTTTAAAGTTTTAAAGTTTCAGAAAAATTCAAATTTCGCGGGTAAAAAATTTTTCAAAAAAAAAAGGTCCAAGTGGAGTATCACTAGATTACTACGGAAAAGAGGAGGAAAACCCGGGTGATTCTTTCGGGGGTGTGTCGACAAGCTAAATTAGGTGTGTGTGCAATGGGGCGAATTTGCGGAAGGCGCGAAATTCAAAAAAAAAGAGAAAAAAAAATCAATTTTTGGGTGAATGAGATCGTTGAGACGAGTGGGATTTCGAACGGGGATGGAAATAGAAACGGGGAGAGAAATTGGGCGCGCGGGAAGTCGAAGGATTTGAATTCGAAGAGGACGGAGAGAGTGTGCGCGGGGAGGAGGGTACAGACGATGTGGGAAACAACGAGTGCCACGTGGATTTTTTAGTTGGACGCTGCCTGGACGATGACGGCCGTTGATGGCTGGAGTCTTGTGATGCCGTTGAAACGAAATGTCTGCGGAAGGGACAACTTCTTGGCGACGTCCTTGTAGGCGCTGGTGTGAACGAAGCGAGAGAAGCAGTCCTGGAAGAAATTTCATGAACTTTGGTCTATTTTCAGATTAGTTTTAGATTTTTGTGCTTTATGAGTTTTTCTGGTGTAAATCGAGGATTTACAGATGTATATCTGTTTTAATTAGATTTTCAATAAAATTTCCTACATTTTGCTTTCATTTTCATCAATTTTGGTCCAGTTTCAGTCAAGTTACGCTGTTTTTTTGCACTTTTGGTATCTTTCACTATTTCTACAATATCTCAAAAACTAGCGGGAAATTCAAAAATACAAAATTTTTATCCAATTTCTAGAGTTTTTCTACACATTCTCGAAAGAAGAAATTCTTAAAAATTACTATGCTAAAGCTAGAAAAACGCTTCTGAAGATAATTTAATTTGACGTCTTCCCACGGCCACCTGGAAAACCTAGGCCACGCGGCCGTGTACACCACGAGGACAAGAGCTAAAACTCGAGATTTTCAGGTTTTTCAGGTTTTTCAGATGGCTTTTCGACGATTTCAGATGATTTTTGATGGAAAAATTGAAGCGAAAATGCTTGGAAAATAGCTGAGAAACTGAAATCAATGAAAAAATTTTGAAAAATCAGTTTCAGTGGCGAAAGCTGGATTTCAACCAAAATTTTGAATTTTGAGCGATTTTTCCAAAAATCTGTTTGAGAAATACATTTTTATAGCCAAAAATTGCAGTTTTCAGCTAAATCAATGCTCAATACCGCAGAAAATTCAAGAAAAAAAAAATCAATTTTTAGCCGGAAAGTTGAAAAAAAAAATTTGGCTGAAAATCTTATTTTCAGCCTATTTTAGACAATTCGCCAGATAAAATTTTCTCAAAAAAATAAGCGGAAAATTCTTAAAAGTGCAAGGAATCCAAAAAAAACCTTCAAATACATTTTTCTGGAAAAATGTTTTTCTTTTCAAAAAATTTAAAAAAATCAGTGCAAGACTATAAACTACAACACACCATACTTTTAATCCGGGCCTTTGCCGGGCCTTCGCGGGCCCTGCCATAACTTCTTTCAGAATCAATGTTTTCGAAACAACTCAATCAGGTATGATAGAGCTCTACGAGTACTACAAAACGGTATTATTTGGAATACTGTATCTTATCTATGAACAAAGTTACAGATCATAAAGTGGCTTTTCTCGCAGGGCCCGGCAGTCCCGGGGCGGGCCTGCTTTTTTTGCTCCTTTTGCCCTATTTTCTAGAAGTCCGAATACCGTAAGACCTCTATTAGAAGGGGCGGCCCTTCTATTGTTACAAGGTACCTTTGGAGGGCCCTTTTATTAGAGGGGCCCTTTTAATAAAGGGGCCCTTCTAATACAGGTTTTAAGCTATACTATGTTTCTTTTCTGTCTATTTTTTCCCAAGTCTTTTTTTATTTTAGGTAGACAATTAAAAATAAGAATAAAACGAAAAGAATTAAGAGGAGAGTCCGGAATGTTTATTTACCCGGAAGTTTACT